CCCCCCAAGAATGAACGCCCCCAAAGGCACCTACTGTGATCGCAAGATCTGTGGGGGGTGCAGTGTCTCTCCTTGGTCCAGCTGGACTGGAAGTGTCTCGCCTCGCACTGCTCGCACCCAGTGTTCCGTGAGGCAGTGCAGTCAGACCGCACCTTGAGTCCTGCAATGCAGAGCACAGCAGGGTTTGCTGCGAGCCGGGAGGGAGTCTGTCAGCGAAGAACAAGCAATAGACCCTGCAAGAGGTACCCAGCACTGCCAGACCCAGCCTCTCCCAGCAGGAGGTGCTGTAGGGAAGAGGTAAGACTGAAAGCCCGGCTCCACCAGGGGAGCGAGGCAGACAGTCATGTCCATGCCCCAGCCATGGCTGCCCGGAGACGGGACACTGCTCCATACCTGGCGCACAGCGGCTGCAGCACCTGCCATCGTGCGGATACTCCTTTGGGGGGCAGTTCAAGTCGCTGCCAGACGCCCAGTGCTGGAATAGAAGAGAGCAGCGAGCTCAGCCAGACGGGTCCGTGCTCCATGACTCCCCCCATGCCCCGTTCTTCCTCGCCCCCCTCGCTCCTGCATGCAGCTGGCTTGGCCTCTGCATCCCAGGCACTGCGCAGACGCTGCTCCCTGCACTCTCACCAACACCCACTTTAACCACAGACCGTTGCACAGCTGGGTTCAGCCGCCTCCGCGGTGCCAGGCCTCCCTTGAAGTGGGATCCCACCAGTTCCGGTGTGGTATCCGGGGCACAGCTCTCTCCTGCTTCGCCTCACAGCTAGTGAGCGCGGTGCCGCCCGGGTGCCGCCAGGCCTGCAGTCAGAGCCCTGGCCAGGCAGCTCCAGCCTGTGCCAACTGACAGGAACTCCTATCCTGCCTGCCCCTGCCCACGGGCTGCCAGCTTCAACCCCTGCGGCAGGGGCAGGGCACAGAGCAGACCCAACTGCCCCTTCTTCCCACAGCCGTGGGGCCATCCTCCCAGGTGAAGGGGGGCTGAAGGGAGGAGCCTGTAGGCACTGGGGCTTGGATCTGGGGCAGCCCTGGTGCTCCTGGGGACTCGCCAGAGTTTGCCCCAGGGGAGCCTCTTCTCCCACCTGTGACACAGCAAGCCCCAGCCCTGCACTGGCTCACAGGGTGCAGCGGGGCTGGTGCCCAGGAGTGGCCAAAGGGCGCATGTTGGCAGAGCCCGGGCTGCCCCGGGGAGCTCTCTGAGAAACAGGATTTGGTCTGAAAGGGGAACCGAGAAGAAAGACTCTGACATCCTGTGTCGCTAGCAGCCTCCATGTTGGGAAGGGGAACTGAACGGGGCCCAAACCCCCAGCCTGGGCCAGGCCCCTGGTTTGCCAGCTCTCCAGGATTGCCCTGGAGTCTCCAGGAATTACAAATTAATTGTTAATCAAAGATTATGTCCTGTGCTGAAAACCTCCAGGAATACATCCAACCAAAATTGGCAACCCTAGCCCCTGCGTCTCCCTCACCCCCCAATGCCTAGTTCAGGCCCATGCTGCAGGCCTGGCCCAGCCCCTCCCCACATTTGGGGAGTGGAACCCCGGAGCCTCTGCTTGGAACCGGGCAGCCCCAGCTCCAGTGTTGTGTGTTCAGCAGGTTCGGGAGCACCCCGGCGTCCTTGGGGCATGCCCCGCTGCCTCAGGCCGGTGTTTGCTTTTGCTCCCTTGCAGGCCCGGGGCTGGTGCCTGTTGCATTCCTGGGCACTGTCACAGCTTGTATCCTCCCCCAGCACCTTCTTTGTTACCCAAAGCTGCCTCTCCTGCCCCCTCAAACCAGCCCTGCCCCTGATGTCCCTGTGCCACAGTTACGCGCCCTGACCGGAGCCGGGGGCCCGGAGCAGCACAAGGGCAGTGGATGGGTGTGGGCTCAGCTCTGTCTCTGTCTCTGGTGGTTGCTCCAACCCCCTATTTCAGAAAGAAAGTGAAAGTGAAGCCAGCAGCCTGGCTAGAGGCTGGCCCCAGCTCCGGCTGGGCCCTCTGGACCGGGAGTAGGGACGCCAGACCCTGCCCTCCCTCCCCAGTCCCCACTACATCCCAGTCAAAACCTGGAGCCCCTGGAGTGCCAGACAGCAGGGGGGAGAGTCTGGGGGGCAGGGAAATCAAAGCAGATGAAGGGAAATTCCCAGCCACAAAAATGAGGAACCAGCAAACTGCCAGGCCAGAGCAGGAGCCTTGGCTCTCACAGATTCTGTGAGCCCAGGTCCCCCCAGGCAGCTCCCCGAGCCCAGGCCAGGGGAGAGGCCAGGGATGGGGGATACGTGCTCCCCTTCCTCCCCTCGGGGCTCTCTCCCCCAGCCCAGGAGCAGAGCCCGCCCCGCACAGCTGGGTATATCCTGGCAGCTCCAGGGCCAGGGATGTAGGGCAGGATCCCGCCCTGTGCACGCCCGGCGCCAGCGCTCACGTCGAGGGAGCTGATTCCAGCCAGCCGGAGGGAACCCCGCGTCTCGCCGCCACGCCCCAGCCTGTCGCTGGAGCTCCCTGGCCCCCTCCAGGCCGGAGAACACCCTCCTCCCATCGGACCTCGACTGGCCCCAGGCTCGGGAGTCGCTCTGCCAGCGAGGGCCCAAGGGAGGGGACGCGGTGCCAGCCCTCTCGCCCCTCGCTGCCTGGCCAGGGCAGTCGGCTCGTAGCCCTGCCAAGCCCCCAGAGCGCCCCGGGGGAGCCGGGCTCTGCGGCGGGCTGCGCCATCGCCGGCTTCCCAGGAACAGAAACCGAAACTCACCCCGAGCAGGCAGCCCCCGAGCAGACAGAGCAGGCAGCCGGGCAGCATGATGCCGCTGGACCGTCGGCGAGCGGCTGGCAGGGAGGCGCGGCGAGCCGCTATAACTTCTCCGCTCGAGACCCGCCCAGGGAAGGGGCTGGGCGGCCACTCCCCGAGCAAAACTCCTCCTCGGCATCCACCCCCGGGCTTGCCTGGGCCAGGACTTCCCCAGGCCGGGGCCCCTGGCAGGGCTGCGTGTGCAAGGCAGCCAGCCTGGAGCAGCCAGGCCCTGGCCGAGCCCGCGTCCCCATGTGCACAGGGGGGTGCTGAGAGCCATTAGGCCGAACTGCAAACCCCGGGTGTGATGGAAACCATGTCAAGCCAGGGGGTGTGACCCCCCACCCCCCGCCAGCACCCGTGTCCCCAGGCTGCTCTTGGCTTGGTGTCAGCCTGGCCACAGGGCACTCGAGGAACGTCCCAGCGCAGTCTGCAGGCAGCTCCCTGCCCCAGGGCAGACCGGGCCATCGCCCCCACAAGGCCCTGGGGACAACAGCGGGGTCCATCAGTGCCGGGAGCTGCTAGGGGTTGGGACACAACATCACTGATGGGGAGCAGCAGAGGTCAGTGCACTGGGGTCCCTTGGTGACCTGCCCCTGAGGAGAGAGGGCGCAGGCCGTCTGGCCCACCCAGAGAGTGTGCGGGGGGCGAGTGGGGCGAGCGCAGGGCTGCCCCTTCTGCCCATGCTAAGAGTCAAGCTGCCAGGATGACTATGAATCACCAACATAATGTGGCCGTGAAAAAGGCCAGTGCGAGGCTAGGATGTACCAGGCGAAGCAGCTCCAGGCGTGAGAGAGGAGCATTAATGCCATTCCACGGGGCCTGGTGAGCCCACAGGTGGAATCCTGTGTGCAGGGCTAGGCACCCGTGGTCAAGAAAGATGAATTTACACTGGAGCAGGGGCAGAGCCAGAGAAGAGCGACTAGGTGCCCAGGAGACGGGAGGGCCGATTTTATGAGAGGAGCCTGGAAGAGCCTGGCTTGGTTAGTCTAGCAATAAGCAGGCTGAGCGAGGCTATGAGTGTGCCCTGGAAACACGCTGGGGGTGAACCCCAGCGAGGGTGAAGAGCTATTGAGACTAAAGAACAAGGCTGGCACAAGACTGAACAGCTAGAAACCAGCCAGGAACAAATTCCAGCTGGAAATTAGAAGGTTACTGACCATCAGAAGCTGAGTTTCTGGACCAGCCTCCCAGTAGGAGTTCTGGAGGCAAACAGTTTTACGAGAGAGCAGGACCAATGTATGGTGCCCCAGCCTCTGTTTGCCAGAAGCTGGGAATGGGCGACAGGGGATGGATCACTTGGTGATTCCCTGTTCTGTTCCTTCCCTCTGGGGCACCTGGCACCGGCTACTGTCAGTAGACAGGATACTGGGCTAGATGGACCTTTGGTCTGACCCAGTCTGGCCGTTCAGCACAATTGTACAAGGTGGCTGCTTGCGATGGGGGGCAGGGCTCGGCAGCTCTGGCCTCACTTTGGGTTTATGTCTGATGTTCCTAAAGCTCATGCTTCAGGGTGTCAGCCAGCCACCGGCAGGGAGCTCCCATCCCCGTTGTTCTAGGAGGTTATTTTTTAATTTCCTTCCTCTGAAGCATCCAAGTTGGCCCCAGCTGGAGCTGGGACATAGGGCAGGGAGGGCCGAGGCTTGGAGGTGGCACCGAACAGTCTCTCTCAGTTGCGTGGCTGGCTGGGTCTTGCTCACCTGCTCAGGGTCTCCCTTATCACCGTGTGGGGTGGGGAAGGAATTTCCCCCCAGGTCAGACTGGCAGGGATTCTGGGCCTTGTTCACCTTTCTCTGCGTGGGTGGGGGTGGGGTCACTTGCCAGGATTAGCTGGGTTTAGCTCACTGAATTCCTTCCCACAGCAGGGACCTCCAACATGGGGCCCCTCACTCCCACCTGTTCTCCGCCCGTGCACAGAACAGTCTAGTCTCCCAGGGGCTGGGATCCTTCGGGCTAATTCTGGTTGCTGGGTCAGTGTGCGGGTGCTGGGTCGTGTTGGTGGCCTGCAATAGGAGGTCAGACTGGATGTCCGGTGGCCCCTTCTGGCGTTAGACTCTGTTCCAGGAAGCCTGTTCAGTTCCTCTTGGGCCTCTCTGTGCCGTCAAGCCCCTCACAGACCCCCCGAGATCTGTAAATGGCCATGCCCTGCAGCTGGGCCCCACAGAGTCAGCCTGTCTCCACAGAAGCCAGCCCTCCAGCCCTCCTCAGGTCTGTGGCTTTTCTCCCCGTGCCCTGGCTCTCAGTGAGAAGGCACCTCGGGTTGGATAGTCTGGCTCCCAGCTCGGCCTGTTTGCTGTACCCCTCTCCAGCAGCACAAGGTGGGTGGGAAACCAGGTGTCTTGGGATTCCCCAGTGTAGGGGAACCCCACTGTACAGTCCCACCACAGCTAGCTCTGGCCCCTGGCGTGTTAGGGGTGTAGCCGGAGCACAGCTGCACTCCAGCAACTCCAGCTGGCAAACCAGCCGTAGGGAGCCACTACCAGTCGGCCCTAAGGCTGCTGCTCACGGTTGCTGGGGATTGTGAGGGACCCACGGCTGAACCCAGACCAATTCATTGCCTCCAGCTGAGTCAGCTCGTGAACTTGGTCTCCTGATGGGCTGCTGACTCCAGCCGCCCTGGCTCTCTGAGCCGGTACCATGCCTGCAGCTGGGCTTCTAGGCCCATTTCCTGCTCTCAGCTGCCGGCTGCTCCTACCTCTGTGGTCCTGGTCTCCTGCTCCTTGGCCCAGTTCTTGTCTCCAGGGTTTTGGCTTTGGCACACTCCCTAGAATTGGTATTTGGGTTCTGGCCCCCGACTCCGGCTTGCTCCCGGGACTTGGTAACTTGGCTCCCGACTCAGGCTGCTTCCCATCCTGACCATTAGGCAAGGCTGCCCACAGCCTGGGCCTTAGCAGGATAAAGCTCCCTTAGCCAGTCCCAGTGGAGGGCTCCATCCGGTATTGCAGGGTGACTGCCCTAGAGCTGCCATGGGCAGGCCCTTGTCTCTCCGCTCCAGGACTGATGCTCCTTGCATTCCGCCCATACTGGCGCTGGCCTGCTTGGCTGCCAGACCCACCCTGCAGACTGTGCCTGTCCCCGTCCTGCTCCCCAGTGCATGGCTGGGGCTGGATTAGTTGGGTTCCCTGGACTGTCTCTGTAGGCCAGGGGTCGGCAACCTTTCAGAAGTGCTGTGCGCCAAGTCTTCATTTATTCACTCGGATTTAAGGTTTCACGTGCCAGTCATACATTTTAACGTTCTTAGAAGGTCTCTTTCTAGAAGTCTATAATATATAACTAAACTATTGTTGTATGTAAAGTAAATAAGGTTTTAAAATGTTTAAGAAGCTTCATTTAAAATTAAATTAAAATGCAGAGCCCCCCGGACCAGTGGCCAGGACCTGGGCAGTGTGAGTGCCAATGAAAATCAGCTCGCATGCCGCCTTCGGCCCGCGTGCCATAGGTTGCCTACCCCTGCTCTAGGCTCTCCAGGGTCCTTAGGATCATTCATCTCCAGTCACAGGGATTTGTGACTCCCTCCAGGTTCCTATCAGCTGTGTCAGTCACCTGCAGGTCCTGCCCCCCCCTCTCTGGGCCAGAAGGAGTCTGTATCTATGCCTGAGCAATTCTGGGAAATCCAGCACCTGCCTGCAGGCTGGGATCCTGGGGCCCACATGCAGGAGAGGGTGTTTGTGCTTTTCCTGCTAACTCGGCCTGGAAGCAGAAGCTCGAGGTTTCAGTTCAGTTTCTTGCTGTGGGTTTCAGTAATTCCCATCTGGGATTAAGCTGTGAAGAAGACAAAATGGAGACCCCCATGAGGGCACAATATCCACCCACAGGGCCCCCCCAACAAGGGGATAGTGTCTCCTCAGAGGACCCCCCCTCCCCGAAGGGGGCAGTATCTGCTTTCAAGGGCCATGAACACAGAAAGAGGGGAGTGCAGAGACTCCAGCAGCTCATGGTGAGTGTGGGAGACTCCTGTACTGCCTCCCTGCTTGGAGAAATTCCCAGGGGATGTGGCGAGGGCCCTGTGGGTTCCAGACTCTTCTGCTTTCTGCAGAGGAGAATGTCCCAGGGAGTTCCTGTTGCTTTGTGCATTTCCCACTGCACATTCATTGTAGAGAGGAAACCCTGGTAAAGGAGAAGCTCGTGCAAAGGTTTATACCTCAATGCCCATGTAAGAATACTCAGGACACATGAACACAGACCAAGGTTACAGGGAGCTGTCTGGCCCGTGGCTGCGCTGGTGCAGCGTGC